TGTTTAACCCGGCGCCAATGACGCGAAAAAAATGCAAGAACGATGACGTTGGGTCATTTTGACCCGAAGTTTTATGAGGATTTATAATAAAAAATATATACTTTTACTAAATTGTAATTAATGTTTACTAAATAAAGGTATTTTCTGCATAAAAATAATAAAATAAAACTAAATATAATAATTAAACTTTATTGACATACTTAACAAGACATGCAAAATCAACTTTGAACAAACAACATATGTTAATTATAAGTTTTGGTTTAAGTATGTTAATAATCATTGGTAACAAACATCTTATATACTAAAAAAGAGATCAAATTAAGTTATTTTTAATTATTAAATGCCATCAGTCTTCTATTCCTCATTTACTGACATCGAACTACTACACTAATTATTGCAGTAGGGTAATAAAATGATCAGGGCATATATAAATTTGACATTCATGACAGGTATGACTTGTCTTCTTATCTTTTTTGGACGGACATATTTGGCATCTCTTGCGAACGCCTAGAATCTTTCGAGGTGGTTCATCTGTGGTTTCACCTGTGAATTGTGCGATTCTTTTGCGCAGTTGACGTGGTAAATTCACTCGAGCTCGTCGCACTTGTAATGTTCCTGCACCATGGCGAGTCCCAGATTTTTTAGGAAATGTCTTCTTTTCATGCGTGTATCATCATTATTAGCCCGGTATATTATGTTTGCGTTATTTCCGATATATTAGCATTGCAAAAAAAGATAGTCAATGGCCATCGTTTGTGTTCTACTCACGTTGTATGACGCAGAAAGATTGTCCACTACATCCACTCCACTCTTGGTGTGATTGTAAAGGAATGATGTCTGGTTCCTTTTGTCACCTGTAGACTCATCAATTTTTTCGTCATGATGTAGACTGGACATCAATAAGACCACTTTATTTTTCTTTGGAATGTAGGAGACTAGAGTTATGTCCTTTTGATGTCCAAGGTAGATGATCCTGGACATTTTCCACGTGTTGTAATGAATTGAGGTGGAATCTGCCGTTTTTTGCGAAGGTTCCAACTGCTGTAAGTTTATGTTCCGTTAGGAGGTGAGATACTAATTCATAACTCGTAACCAATTGTCGAATGTTATGTTACGATGGCTTTTAGAAACGGGCAAGACGACGCGATTTACAACGTCAAAAGGTTTGTTGCTGAGTGAGTATGGGCCACTGGCTGCTTTCCGCTATATATTTCTAATTGGTCACATAATATGTCACTATAATCACTAAATAGAAAATAAAAGTATGTCACGAAAATATTACATTTACAATGACGCTGGGGTCAAACATACCCGATTGGACTTGACGCACGAGTTGCTCGTTGCGCGGGCGGCGTCGCACTGAGCGAACCATCGGGGCGGGTAGCGGGGAGGCATCGCTTCAGCTACTCAAACGCTTAAACCACATAACCCGGGTAAACAAAATATATGTTCGTTAAAAAAACGTCTCGGGTCATTATGACCCAGCGTCATTGGCACCGGTTAAAAGGCAATAACAAAAGAATTTTCTTTATTAGTTATTATTAGTATTATCAATTTAAATAATTGTTCCAAATCTGGTAAGAAATATTTCTGACGAAATACTAGAAGAAGGTTATACACAGTGTTATTTTCGTAAGAAAATGTGCCAAAGAATAATATAGTCATTATTTTGTAAAATTCTTTTGAAGTTAGGAATGATACATTGGACATGTTTACCCCGCGACAAACTTTTTAATGTCTTTTTCCACGCTTATAGGGTAAAAATGACCAGGTGACAACAACAGATGAAAAAAACAACAACAAAAGACATATTTTTGCAATTATAAATTGTGTTTGTTTGTTTGATATGCAGTATTTGATGTGATGTAATTGGTTTGGTTTTCACAATATAATTGCTGAAAGTCAAATTGGACCTCTATGCCTTGCCCTACCCTGTATATATATATATATATATATATATATATATATATATTTAACAAACTAAATTTAAATTTAATAATTTACTATCTACTGTCCATTAACGATTAAAGAAAATAGCTACTTTTGAATCAATATTGGATTTACTAATTTAATCCTGATATTAAATGTTGATTTTATAAGCCAGCTTGGTAGATCATTTTAATATGTTTTTTATAATCAAACCTATTCATGGTATAGGAAAAGAGTAATAAGAACTTGAAAAAAATTGTAACGTGCAATAATTATAAATGGTGTTATAATTTCATAAAGAATATGTAATCGCAAGTAAATAGAATCATTAAAGAAAACTCTAAGAATCTTTAAGAAAATAGTTTGCTTATAATATTAATTATTATCTTTAAAATGTGAAAGATTTAGAAATTATTGTAGTTGGAGATATACAAATTATCTAATACTATCCTTATTTGTTATTTACAGGCAAAATACAATATTCAGATCTAATATGAAAGTTAAACTGTTTTAGAGTATTTTAAACTTAATTTTAGCAAAAAAAATTAAAAAACCTTAACCAAATAATTTACATACAATATTTAATATAATGTTGGTTATGAAGTGTAATAATATCAAGTACAAGGAGAGACTTTAATACAAAATACGATTTCTCAACACATACAAGGAATAGAATATATACACTATTTATGAAGCAATAATATGAAACAGCAACCGTGGTTGAAAGTGTTGAATTACGTTCAAGAGCTTTCTATGCTGATGCAGAGATATGCATTATATTTAACAAAATATATAAATCTAAGCTAAAAAACTTGTAGACATTCTAACGCTATACGAATAAAATCAAATAACGTTGATCAATCAATATTACCAACGTATTGACAATAGGCTGCTCGGAAACTTTGCATATGATCTATAATATTATCTTTTCACATTATAATAAAATAATGGGTAGTACTACTCTAGGGCATGTGCGTAAGTTGAGTTAAATTCGAACTCGATTCAGGAAAGAATCGCAAGCAATTAACACTGCAATTCCCGAAATGGGCTATTTTCTATAAGAAACCCATGTTTTGATTCATATATTCAAGTGAAAATCGGTATCACTACTGCCTAATATCAGGTCATCCAAAGGGTGGTTTGAATCACTATCTTGTCCAATACAGCGTGATTAACCTTTACGCCATGGAATTTCCTTTTCATGCTATATATGCTATTAATCACTAAATCTATAGTCACATTTAATTGCCACTGAAGGCATTTTATTCAATTTAGAAGTATAGTTGATAATATTTCAAAATAGCAGTTGTTCAAGATATTTGAATGTTTGAATTCACAATATTGCTGACAGGTTAAATTTTAAAATTGGCGCCATTAAATATGTACCCCGGTATTTGCTTAACTTCACTCAGGTTTTCAAAATTTGTCGGCACAGGTGAGTTGCCCTTCGATCAGTACAAGGTCAGCCGTGCGACGCGTCATTTTGTCCGTAAATGTGAAGACATTTCCTCGTTTTTTGGAATTTATCGTCTTTTATTGTCGTTTTAGTTATTATTTCTGAATTTATTGTTAGTGGACGATATGTGGTGTAAATTAATAATTATATGAATAGTATATTTATTGTGATTAGTAAAGTGTAGTGGTTAGTGAAGTGTTTTCCATAATCAAGAATTTGCAAGTCATGTCTGCACAATATATTGCACCGGTAAGCGGTAATGACATGTAGCTACTGTATTTGTAACTATATATTAAAAATATATCACGCCGATACATGATAAGACTCATTTTAGTAAAAAAATAACATTATTATAAAACTAAAACGACAATAAACTAGATATCTCGAATTTTCAATAATATTTTATAATGTTTAAAATATGATAATACTGCACTTAGTATTGGTCCGCTTAAAATTATTCTGACGATAATAAATTCTTTAAATATATCTTATGCGCAAAATTTTGAAATATGTAGTCTGAAAAATACAAAAATAGCCCTGTATCAAAGCTATAATTAAATATAGAAATAATAGTAATGTTGTGTAACTTCAGTTAGTTAAGTTAATCAGGAATTGATAAGAAAATTTTGAGAGCAAAATAGAAAATGCGAACTATCGAATACAAGGAACTGGGGACGCGGTTTTCAATCTTTGGGAAGCGTCCCTCCAGAAGGCGCCAAGTTGTTCTAGGGAGACGCGTACATCTGTTTTCAGAATACTATTTTCAAAAATAATCCAAGATTCTTGAAATGATATTGAAAAATAATAAGTTTTTATGCATATTTAACTTCCCGAAGGAGAAGTTTATGTTTTTATAAACAAATCCGATTCGCTAAATTTATATTTTTTCGACATTTCAAGCCATTCTGAATCGGATGAGAACAAATTTGGAAAAAGCATGTGTGTGTATGTATGTGTCCGCGTGTATATGAACAGATTTTTTGCCGTAAATCGACGTTTTCTCAAAAACCGGTTTCAAAAATTTAAAAGCCGTTCTTTGTATCTCGATGAAGACTATTATTTGTCAGTTTTGTGCGACGATTCGTCCACGTTTTAGGCTGCATTTCTGAATCGATTTTGAAAATTCACGAACAGTTCGATAGATATTGGTTCGATAGATAGTTCGGAATCTTGCTGATTAGTTTTTGGTAGAGATTGGCCGGGCGGTTTTCTTGTAATAAAGTGTTAAATATGTTTTTTTCGACGATTTCTATGATTTTTTTGCGGTAGGTACTATAGTCTTATAGATCATACTAAAATATTACGGCCCTACGACAATTTGTTTAATTTTAAAAATTCTTCAAAGTTTGCAAAAATCGTTTTTTTTGGCTTTTGTCAAAATTTGACCTTTCATCAACGTTTGCTCAAAAACGCCTGAATCGATTCTAGAAATTTAAAAATCATTTGATGTATCTCAATGAGGGCTATCGTTTGTTAGTTTTGTGCGACGACCTTAATAATACCTTTAATTTTATTATTAATAATTGTATATACTCAGAATAATTTAATAAAAAAAGTGAACATTATAAAACCAAAATATTTATTTAAAATATTTAAGTTATTTTAAATACCATAACACTTGCACCTATTTGAATATGATTCAAAATCGACTCGTTCCTCATAAAATTATAGTTTGAGTCTACATAGTTAGTCTGCATCACCATAATATAGTCGTCCAATATTTGCCATAGCCGGTAGCCTCTGTTGAACTTTTGTGCAAATTCAATGTTCTAATCTTTTATGCACAATGTGAGTTGCCACATCGGTGCTTTTAGTTCATTTATGTGTTGACTTAGTTAACATTTTTCTATTGGAATTTTGGTTAGTTCGGGAATTATGCTATTCGAATGGAAATTTCTAATGGATAGAAGCGATAGTTTAATAGCGCAAGAGAAAATAGCTTCTAGAATGGTTTCTATCTGAGAATTATAAAACTAGTTGGTATTGTATTTTTTCTTGAGGCAAGTTACATGAACTTCCCAAAATGTATAAATAATCGATTTAATGAAAAAAAAACTATTTTTTCAAACATTGCTATATTCCCATATATCTTAAAAAAAATGGTATGGGAAGTTCCAAGTTTTAAACTACTACAGGTTTAATATGAGGTGTTAGCTATTTGTCTAATAATTCCTGAAAGAAAACTTAAATTTTTTTTAATTAATCACATTATATACCAACTCCAAAAAAATGACTTCAATATCGATGTTTTTTCCAAATCCACTTCTGTGCAAACTTCGATGCACGACTGTGCTCGTGAAATGTGCATTCGTGGCATTTTCTCAGGGGCGTAATTATATTTGTTTTAAAACAAGGAGAAACTCAAATAGTATGGGAACGATAACAAATCATAACGATTCTGTGAGCAAATACGACTGATATATTACGTAATATGAGTTTGAGGAACCATTTTCAAACAAACCTTAAATTAAGTGAGCTTATGACCTTTAAAGACTGAAAACAACGCTTGTAATAATATCACATAGAGACGTGTTTTAGAAAGTTTTTGTATGCTGAACTTTTAATTGGTATATGTACGATATTTATAGACATGTATGGTTGACTTTATTTGCATAAAGCAACAACAAACTTCAATATTCCATACACCCACTCATACGTATATTTATTATTTTGTAGTATATGTTAATCTACGTAATATGTATCAAATTCAATAAAACATTAGGCACTTATTATAAAACCTCATATAAGTTATATTTTGGAAATAATTTGCAATTTTAGCATTCGTTGATAAAACATTTATGCTTGTAGCATTTATGTGGAATATGTAATGTATCAAATATGTCATATTACCATTTTCTGTGTTATATTTCGAGCTCAATTGTGTTGCATTTATCATGAATACAATACTTCAATTTTTTTATTTCTTTATTAAAAATAGCAATCAGGATACAAAGAAATCTTATTGCAAGCTATTGTTACATAAACGAATGGAAAAAAGCAGAATATAATTAAATAATAATTTAGAGTTCACTTCACTGAAAGAAGTCTAGTGCAACTTTTATGAATTATTGTTTTAAATGCATAAATATGAACTGAGTTCAATTCAGTTCAAAAAGATATCTTCCATTACATAAAATATATACTACATAATGGCTTTTTCATTAGGTATTTTACATCAATACATTTATATGTAATATAAAAATAAAAAATAGTGTAATGTTTTTTTGCAACAAAAAAACAATATTTTTGGCCATTCGAACAAAAATCTAATGTCAGTGTTTAGCGAAATAAAAAGGGTTATATCTATGAATCTATTAGTTTATAGTTTGGCATGGCTTTAATATGAACCGATACTTAAGACAATGGATATTAGTTATAGTAAAACATATTTAACACACGATCTTAGAATTAAAATATTAAATATTTGTGCTATAATTTATCTAAAATTATTATTGATTAAATATCAATAAAAATATGGAGAGTGCATTTTTTAGATAATACGCAGCAACATTTATTAAGTTAATCCATAATCATTTATTAATGCAAATAAATAGGTGATTAGTAAAGTGGGATTCATTACAATAAATGTATAGAAAAATCCAACGGTTTTTATAAAAATACATTTAGATCAATTTTATAAAAATGGTACAGAAGAGCTAAGACTTGTGGCAAGATTTTTTCTAAAATTACTATATCTTGAGAACCACTGGTTATATTTTAATATAATAAAAGTACATACTATAACTATTTCTCTATCAATCTCAGTACAAATAATTACGTAAATATGGTTCATTATTTCACAATTTACCATTTTATAGTCTATTTACTTTGTGTTTGGTGCTAGTTGTAACGTCCAAGTCATGTAGTAACGACAAAAAAAAAACAATACCTCCGATATTTTATTGTTTGCTTGTTTTTAGGAAAATTGACTTGTTTCAAAGTAATTCTTTTCATAAATCAACGCACACTATAATTAGGTCAAGTGAAATAAAATATATAATGTATCCCTAATAATCACAAAAAGCAGACGAAAATAAAGAAAACATAAGTTTCATGACAGTACACTTTTATATTACATAAATGACGGTCCTGCACAGTTTTGTTTATAGCTTCGCCCTGTTGGACAGTAGCTATGATAATATTATGCATGACGGTTTACATGTTCAATCGGGACAAAAAAAATTAATATCGTTTCAGATCCTTTAAAAAAACGGTCGTTACTACTTACATCAGTTACAAAAAAACCTAGCATCCCTATTTTAATGTAATGACAGAATTTTTATTCATTTTGCAGTTTTATTACAGCGTAAATTAACAATATTAATTAATTAATCATTCATTTAAACAATATAATTTTATGTGCATTTCAATATTATATTACACATGTACTAAATTTTTATTTGGAGAAGCCCACTGGGGAGACCTCCATCATGCCATATTGTAGAAATCCAGTACTATTATTGGAGTTCTAATAATCAGCACAAAAGCTTATAGAATTTTTTTATTTTCTGATTGCTATTTATTTACTGTAAAAAAAAATTATGGCACAACCTGACACATATTTGCGGGGCGTCTTTTTATCAGTGTTTACTCGGACTACTCAATGTTACGTAGGGGCTACATTAAGTAGCGCTTCTCATACAAAATGGTACTAAATAGTGTCAAAATGCCATGTATTTTCTGTGCAATCAGGCAATATAACAATATTAGAGAGGACAATTTACAGATCCAATCTAGACAAAATCTAAAAAAAACATTTCAATATCTTTCAAGATCTGATTAAAAAATACTTCGTACTACTTACCTACCCTGCTACAATAATATATTATATTTTTCATGTACATATTACAGAACAGCATGGTATGATTGTTTCTTCTTTTAGTTACATATAACTACATAACCAGCACGTTTAAAAAATTATAGTCTTATTTACTATTTGACGAAATAATATTATAATACCGTTTATATCACGCAGTAAACTCAAAGAAAAAATTTACATTTATCAGTTCATCGCAACAAACAAACAAATGCTCACCGACACAAAACAGAGGTACTAAATGAGATGAATGTTTGAGGAAAAGAGCGCATTCCCTTTGAATTTATAGTTCAGAATGATTTATGCGAAGTTTCCAAGAGAAAAATAGCGCTTTTAAAATAACAGTTGTATCCACATCGAGGTACCGCGTGAGGTGTTCGCGTGTGTGTGCGCCACTCGCGGAAAACAACGCCGTTGTTAACTCAAACTGCGG